TAACCCCATGAACATTGGTTCGCTTATCACACCTCCCAATGGAACCGGCATCAACACTCATACCATTCTCATGCGAATCCATGGCCTCTGTACCTGGGTTTGTTTTTCACCTCAACGCCGCGAAAAATTCACTATCGATGTGAAATATTGTCAACCGGAAATGTGTGCTAAAAAGATTCAAGGTCTTGAGATCGATGTACCAACTCATTGGAACTCGAATTATTCGATGTTGCAGCGCGCACTCTCCCTTGAAAAGACATGTACTCACTTCTTCAAACACAATGCTGAAGCTTCCAAGTTCCTCCTATCACCGGCCGAATGGGATCAAGCAAGATATCTCACACAGCTTCTAGAACCAACGGTGCAACAAGTCCTATACACGTATTTCTAGTGGGTGTGTATTGCACCAAAATGTATAGGCCATACATGTATTTGTATTGCAGCTGAAGGCAGCTGCAATACGAGTGTATTCTTTTTTTATGTATTGCCCTCTGAGTACAATACAAATAAATGTATTGCAGGTCCGCTGAAATACATCCCATGTATTTTTGTATCTGCAGATCCCAGCTTCAACTTCATTACAAATTTAAAACCCCTTTTTTTTCTCTTTTTTTCTCTTTTTTTTCTCTTTTTTTTCTCTTTTTTTCTCTTTTTTTCTCTTTTTTTTTCTCTTTTTTTTTTCTCTTTTTTTTCTCTTTTTTTCCTTTTTTTTTCCTTTTTTTTCTCTTTTTTTCCCTTTTTTTTTTCTCTTTTTTTTTCTCTTTTTTTTTCTCTTTTTTTTCAACTTTTATTTTTTCATTTTGTTATTTTTTCCATTTTTTTTATTTTTTTCCATTATTATTATTTTTATTTTTTTGTTGATTTTTTTTCCTTTTGATTTTTTTTCTTGTTTTTTGCACCAAATAAATTGGATTCATTTTTCAGCAAATACACCTTTGACAACTCATTTATGTTCAGGAGATTGAATATGATTACAGGAGGCGGATACAATACAATTATTGCTTTGGGAGAAAGATTGAAAGGGGGTGAGAAAAATGAAAAAAAAATAGAGAAAATAAGAGAAAAAAAAGAGAAAAAAAAGAGAAAAAAAAGAGAAAAAAAAGAGAAAAAAAAGAGAAAAAAAAGAGAAAAAAAAGAGAAAAAAAAGAGAAAAAAAAGAGAAAAAAAAAGAGAAAAAAAAAAGAGAAAAAAAAGAGAAAAAAAGAGAAAAAAAGAGAAAAAAAAGAGAAAAAAAAGAGAAAAAAAGAGAAAAAAAGAGAAAAAAAAGAGAAAAAAAAGAGAAAAAAAAAAGAGAAAAAAAGGGGTTTTAAAGGGAATACAACCAAAAATGTATTTGTAAATACAATGTATTCGTATTGTATAGGCTAGAAAATGAATACAATGTATTTGTATTGTATTCACTAGCAGATGCAATACATGTATTTCAAAATACATGTACTCCTGACGAAGTGCAATACGCTGTATATGCCTATACAATACGCGTATAGGACTCGTTGCACCGTTGCTAGAACCACTCCACGATGCTACCGTAATCCTATCTGGCTCCCATTACCCAACATTGAACAAGGCCCTCCCAGTCTATATTGTGCTGCTCGAACATCTTGACTCTGTTCGTCGAGGGCTTTACAACCAATCTCAGCTGATTCAACCAGCTCTTCAGATGATTGAGAAGTTTGACCAGTATATCCGGGAAGCCCTCAAGAAACCTGTTTACATCTGCGCAATGATCCTCGACCCCAAATTCAAGACCGCTTTCTGGAAGAATCATCAGGATTTCATCTTTGATCGCTACCAGGTATCTGTCCAAGAAATCGAAGACATCTTTTTGAAAGAAGCACTTGCCTTTGAGGAAAGGTTTGTGAAGGATAAGCCTCCTGAGGATTCAATGTTGAATCGATCGAACACCAAAGGCCATTTTACCTCGGCATTGTATCAGCCGGCTCCGAATATCCAAGGGATTCAAGCCGAAATTCGACACTACTTGAACGAAGATGTTGAAACCGAGGAGGTCGAAACACTTCCTTATTGGGCATCCCAACCCAAATCTTTCCCCAAACTGTCATTTATGGCTCGACGCTTCCTATCCATCCCAGCCACCAGCGCATCGTCGGAGCGAGTCTTTTCTACAGGTCGTCGCATTGTTTCGTGGCAGCGATGTGGTATACCTTAAGGGTAGCCATCTGGCCCATTTAAAAATTTTACAGTTTTTTCTTTTATTACAAATTACATACTTTTTACACCTTTTTTCTCATATATACACTCAAAAATCACCCAATATGGCTCAAGAACTGGATTCTATGGTCAATTTCACCCTTGGTCACCACTGGAGGCGTCACTGGAACTCAACTTGATTGGAAGCTACACTCTCTGGGACCATCACCACACTCAATTACACAACTCACCACCATGGCAACACTTCAACACTCAACAACACCAACAAATTACATAACTCACACTATACATATGTACATTGCAGGACAACTACATACACTCTCACACCATTATAGTACATGTATACACACCACTCCACTATCTTCTGACAGTTGACACATGCAGTGTTGGTCTGGTACCACTCTGGATTTACAAGTGACATCATGCAGGTTGTCATGTCATTTGTTAATCTTCCTTGCAGCTGTCAGGCTATCTCACACCACTCATGTAATATTCATCACCTCACCTTAGCTTGCAGACTAATACATCACCTCATGTAAAATGCTTCACCAGCATAAAACCCTCATGTAGACTTCTAGTTCAAACTAAGATAACTCTTATGACATCATGTAGGTTGCTCAACCAGCCAAAATACCTCATGTACATGTTTTGACTAGCTAAATCCCCTCATTGTAAAGCTCTGGCCAGCTAAAATCTCTCATTCTCTTGTTCCCCTGAAGCTAAAATCCCTCACCTTTGTGTATTTAAGAGGCTCTCCTCTCAGTTGTTTTCCCCTCAGTTTAGTATCCACCTATTTCATACCCCCTACCCTTACAAACCCTTACATACCATTACATACCATCCCCTTACAATTGAAATATCAGCTAGACTCACTCTCTCACTCTCAAATCAACCTTTAGACCCTTATAAAACTGGGTTAAACCCTTTGTCCACCTGTTAAGCCACAGTTATCTTTTGATACACTCCACTATCACTTTATTAAACCTTCCAATCTGAGATTGGTGGGCTTGTCTAGTGTCTAGTGATCCAGGAAAGGCAGAGGTATCCTCATTCATCCCTTTCCACACTCAGCAAAAGGTTTTCACAAACACTTTTGAGCTTTACAGCGATCCTCCTTAAAGCCAACCACAATCGAGGGCCTATTGTGTCTCAAAGACTGGTTCCTCACCTTCGACGGGCCATTTTGATATCGTTTCTTTCTCTTATTCATTTTTTTTCTGTTCTCATGATTCTCACACAAAAAAAATACAAATTCATACTTCAAAAAATCTGAAAATATCATGTAATACAAGATCGAGGCAGCACAAATTGAAAAAAAAACCTTGCTTGATAATGTATCAAACCCCGGGGTTCCGGGGTTTTGCAAAACCTCATCCCGAGTCCTGAACCCCGGGGTTTGGATCCGGGCAAAACCCTGAACCCCGTGTGTCGGGGTCATGCCTTATCTAGGTCTGATAGAGATTACTTTACAAAAGTAAGGATGCTAGTGACATTTCAGATAGTAAATCTTCAGAGAAATATTTCAAACTTTGTGACTGAATTGGTTGATGCTTGAGTTTTTGAAGATTATAATTCATTCCAGTTAGAATTTTTAGAACCCCAACATTTAAAAAACTTTCTTCAGGAGAAAATCCAGTCAAAGATTTTTTTAAACTCAATCACATGGTCAAAACTCTGGGATTGAAGCCTGTTTAATTCTTTGGCTTGTAAGCTCCACATTGATCCAAGAAATTCCCTTAAGAGGAGTAACAGAACTTCTACTGGCTGCTGTCCTCCCAAAACGCCAGCTTTGCCAATTGTCATGGTTGGATTATGAAATCCAAAGAACATTGTAATGTTTTTGTAATCACATTTCATCACCCACACCAAAAACTGAATGGACAGGATTTTTTCTGCAAACTTTGCAATGTGAGACTACAAGCCCGGATCAGAGGTTATTCTCCCAGGAATAATAAGAGCTGAGCTTAGAGAGGCTGGGATTTCAGCTTTTTTAGTTGCTGGATTAACCCTGGCAGCAGAACCAGCATTAGGGCATTTCAAGTTAACTACTTTATAATTGTCTGACAGAGTCAAAACCCTTGTGGAAAGAGATTTGTTGTGTTTGATGAGAAATATTGAGCTGGAGCCTTGTGGACCAGCCGCCTGTTATCTGATCAGTGCCATTGCCCTGTAATTATTGTCAATATGTTTTGGGTCAGGATCTCCCCAGCCAACTTGTCAGAAGTTTCATAAAAACTCACCAGAGTGCTGTGAAATGAACCCTCCAAGATCAAAGTTTCCATTGATTGAGGAATGACTGGGACATTTGCAAAAAAACAAATCAATGCACATAATGAAATCCAGGTGTATTTGGAAATACAATGAGAGCACATTCTGAAGATGATGCTGGCAATCATGAGAAGCAGGGGGATTTTTCAAAGTCCTGATCACTGAAAACCTTGCAATTTATGGGGCTGAAGTACATACATAGCAAGCTCTGAGACAACCAGTGAATTTAATGTTTATTAGGTCTGTAACAACAGCTTTTGTGAAACACACTATAGAGAAGTACGTGTGTATGTCAGTGTACCCAAAACCAGAGCAATTGCTTCCATCACCAACACAGACTAAACTTAATGGAAGGACTGCTTACCCAGCACTAATCAGACAAAGCCTGCTCATCAAACAACCTGGCCTTCACTGCAACCAGTAAGTGCTAGAGGTGCTTTCTGGGACATTATTTGGTCCAAATACATACGTGGATCCCCATGGTGCTTGGGAGGCTTTTGGGCATGGTGAATAATTCAGGTGGCTGTGTGTTCATATGGGCACAGCTTCACAGGTTTTTCATGGTCAGGCTTGGTGATTGGCATGATATATGAATCAGCTGAAGAGAGTTCAAGCTTGAGAGAAGAACAGAACACGTCTGGATGAGGCAAGGCAGGACAAGACAAGATTGATCAAGAGCTTAATCCCTAAGGCTCATGAGGTCACACATTTTGGGCTTATGTAAATGTATGTGCAGCAACGTTTTAACCGCTGCGCTGCGCTAAAAAAAGTGGCCATTTAGCGCAGGGCAGCAGTCAAGCCACTACGTCCCAGAGGCATTCAGGGGAAGCTGTTGAAAAATTGCTTCCGCTAGCACTAGATTTAGAGGTGTACCGCTTCATCTGGAGAGAGGTCAGTGCTAGCGCAGCAGAAAAAATGGCGCTAAAGCTGCAAAATAGCGCAGTGCAGCGCACAACCCTCACATGGGCGTGTCTGACCACTAAATGGGGCGCCCACCGTTACACGCTGCACTGGCTGCCCAAAGCTGTGCAGATTGCAATCAGCACAGCACCCGAGTCATATCAATTCTTGGCTTTTCTTGAGCTCTGTCCCCTCAATTACTAAGTTCTCTAAACAACCAAGCAAAAAAAATAGCACTTGACCTTAAATTTGAACTGTCCTATTGTTTAAAAAAGAATATGGTAAGTAATAATAAACTAATGATTGATCTAGTTTTTTTCATCATCTTTAGCATCATTATCAGTCAATATCAGCCAAATAGCTATTGTGATCAATCATTTATTTCTTTATTATTTCTTTACTCATTTAGTAGCAGATTCTGTTCTGCCTTCAGGCAAGATGTTAGCCATTATTTATTGATCATTCCTATTGTATTTACCTATATATGAATGTTTACTTATAAGAATTGACACCTTCAATTCAAAAATCTTTCAGCTGTGACATAATTAAAAGGCTGCTCCAAGCATGACTATGTTGTCAATTTGCTCAACACATTTTCAAATAGTGTGATATTAGTGGTGCTGAAGAAGATAATTCAGGTTGATATTTGCCTCAATGATCTCAATGAGTCAAGTGAAAACATGAAATTAGCCTGGAAAAAATATGGAAAAGGTGACAAGCCAACAATTTGAGGTATGATGATCACTTATGATGCTG